AAGAGCACCCAGTGCTCTCAACCACTGAGCCACCTCTCCAGCCCCTATAGTGAAGTCCTGCTATGGGAGGTCCTTTTGTCTGTGTGTTGCTTTTATTGGTTAATGAATAAAGAACTGCTTTGAGCCTATGGCAGTGAAGAACAGAACTAAGCAGGGAAAGCTGGGCTGTATGCTGGGAGAAAGAAGGGCAGAGTCAGAGAGAAGCCACAGAGCTGCCAGAGACAGATGCTGGGAACTTTAGCCTATAAGCCACTGTCATGTGGTGATACACAGATTAATAGAAATGGGCTAAATTTATTATGTAAGAGATTAGCCAATAAGAAGCTAGAGTTAATGGGCCAAGCAGTGATTTAGTTTATACAGTTTCTGTGTGATTATTTTGGGTCTAAGTTGGCCAGATAGCTAGGAACCAACAAGCAGCCTCCCTTCTCCCACTACAAAGTCCTACCAATCTTAGCAATTTTTTGATCTGATTATCAATATATATTTCTAAAAACAAAGGCATGAGGAAATAATTGAGCTACATTTATCATGTGTCTAGATGAGTAAGTTAAAGCTCCAAGATACGTTAGACAGCAGAGACTTTAATGAAAGAATAAGACATCTGTATCCACTGACTGGTCGTTGAGAAAGAAGATTGCTATTTATATCCTTTTCCAGTTGACTTAGTCTTCCTTCCCCAACTTGCCTCTCTACTTGCTACTCCACAATGATACTGCTTTTTATTCTTTTTCCCTAGGTTCAGTACCAAGTAAAATTTTTTAGCTGGACAAAGTTTGTCTTAAGCCAGTTTTATTTTCAAAACTGCTCTTTTCTGTATCTAACTATCAGTAGGAGACCAGTGCCCTTGGAATCTTTCCCTGTTTTTCAGTGTTTCAGTTCTCCTCAGTAACCAACATGGCATCCATCACCACGCTGTTCTATGGTTTCACACGGGCTCTATGAAGAGCCTCAGTCCCGTTGCTCTGTTTAATGTTTTGAGTGCAGAAGCTATGACTCACACAGTTCATAAGAAGTGGAGCAAAGGCAAAACTGGATGTCAATCTGTAGAAGAATGAAAATAGACCCATATCTATCACCATGCACAAAACTCAAGTCCAAGTGGGTGAAAGACCTCAATATCAGTCCAAACACACTGAACCTGATTGAAGAGAAAGTGGGAAGTACTCTACAACACGTGGGCACAGGAGACCACTTCCTACGTATAACCCCAGCAGCACAGACA